TAAGAGGATCCGGATTGGAGGCCCGAGTGGGATAGGCCCATCGAAAGAGAGGGGTCGGGGTAAATAGCAAGTGTGATGAGGTCACACTCGGTTTGCCACAAAAGGGCACACATTTTGATGATTGAAATGTAAACAAGTGAGAAGTTGTGATAGGACAGCAGTGGGATGACAGGGTAAAGAGTAGATAGATAGGCCAGGACAGAAAGAGTAGCGATAGTGTAGCCATTTCCGGCAGAACGGTTGTCGAGGGATTGACTTCACTTGTCTCTTTGACGAGTTCGTATCTTGGTGCGGAGAATGACAAGGCTCACGGATGATGCCGGCGAAACGTCTGAGAATGTATCAAGTCCGCTGTCGGATGCTGGGAATCATGACAACTACTATGGCAGACGACTTCGGACTCGGTGCGTTCTACATAGTCTCCCTGAGACACAAAGACCAATTTGCGACAACGAGGTCAACCCACTTAGTTTACCTCGTCTACGCAGAACCAAAAGTTTATGAAACCAAATTCTGCTGAAGTGAATTATGGTACCTAATTCAGTCTTTTTAGCATTGATACCTATTCAGTCTACATTCGAGTGCGGACTTTTGAGGGATAACCGCCGTTGCCGAACACATGCAAGCACCCTGAAGTGTCAAATAAGTGTAAAAACATGTTCTGTGGTTTAAACATGTGTTTGTTTTAAAATTGTCTGTCGTTGCCTGCCATGAGAAAAGAATAGCTTGATACAACATACTATTCTACATTAAAACAAATCAAACGGCCAAGATTTACTAATCGGTATCGTTACGGCAGCCATGTGGATAAGGCCACGAGGTCATGCTGGCTGAATATGATTCAACAAAAAAGAACGTCACTTATTCAATATTTTTTAGACATTTGACTGCTCACTTCACTTCGTTAGGGGTAGACGAAAGACTAGAAGAGAAGAGTATAATCACAAATTTGAAGACCAAGATTGTGTGATCACAATTTTGGTTGATAGAAGAAGTGGGTTGACCTCGTTGTTGAAACTTAGTCGTGTTGTCATAGCGATCTAAGATGAAGGCACATTGTCCACAGTCTTCCGCTATAATAGGTATGATAAATTGCAATGTCAAACAGCGGCCATGGAACATTCCCAGACAGGGTTGCCAAAAGGCTGTACTATATATAGACAAGTTGTATGACCTCGTTCTCACAACTCGGTCATATTGGCAGGAAGACCTAGGAGGACACACCTTGTCCGGAGTTCACAGTATGCATGATCATTTCCAGAGTCGGACCGTGGACTTGGTACATTCTCAGACGTTTTGCAGGCATCGTCAGTTAGTCTTGCCATTCTTAGCACCACATCACAACTCGCTCAGGGTATATGAGTTGAATGTGGGAGATGGTACGTGGAGACAATTCCCAATATCTGCAAGCCTATGCTTTCGTCTCGGTGATGCGACAATGTACGTGCTTACAGAGGCTTGAGAAATAGCGCCTCGAGTAAAATGCACACTGAGACTGGAACAGAGTGAAATTGGTCAGCCAGAAAGATAAGGAACGGATCTACGGACCCATGAAGTAGATCCAGATCAGAAGCCAGCTTGGGATAAGCGAATCGAAAGTGAGAGTGCGGACAAAGTAAAAAGCTGGGCCAGGACAGAAAGAGGAGTGATAAGACAATCGTTTTGTCAAAGATTTGCTCAAAGGATCGACTTAAGTTGTCTCTTTGGTGGTGCTAACAATGGCAAGACTAACAGACGATGCTGACTACGATGCCGGTACAGCGTCTCGGCAAGTACCAAGTCCACAGCCCGACTCTGGAAATTATCATGTATACTACGGACTCCGGAATAGGTGCGTTCTTCCTACCAATATAACAAGGTTGCGAAAACAAGGTTAAACAAATATTATACATCGAAACGAGATTGCGACTTAAATAGAGGCCACAGCATCTTGGTCTCCGTACCTATAGATACAGTCAAGCCTAGCAGTGTCGAAGTCATTAAACTGTAATCATGTAAATACTCCAAACACGGCCTTCCACAAATCAGTGTCGTGTTAGGACTAGGTATTTGTGTTATCTTCAAGTATGCTGATTAGAATTTCAAATCACTCAAAAAAGAAATAATATCACCACAATATATTTATACAATCGACTTAAAATGCCTTAACTGTTGTCCTCAAGATCCTCTAGTCTTTAGTTGACGCTACACTGACTTTGGAGTAGTGAAAATCAACGAGTTTAGGTGGGAGAGCAGTATTCTACTAATTTACATGAGGCCAAAATAGGGATAATCGGACATGGATGATTTATGCATCAGTTTCCGTCTGTAAAATACGTGACAATTGCACAGTGAGATAATTAGAGAGAAAAGAAGAAGCCTACAGGACAACAAGGAAAAACGGAACTAAAATAAGCGCACATTTATGCCAACAAACAAAACTATAGACGAATAAAGCGCAACATCTATCGAAATTACTGAAACCCGTGACGGTCGAACGGAAGGAGTTAAATAAAGATTTCTGTAAGCCAGAGTGCATAAAAAACTGGGCCTATATTTTAAATGTAGGCGTAAAAATAATGTTGGTACTTCCGTCATCCGTTCCGACTATACACTAGGTTCGTTATTGCTGTCCCGAAGGAAGAGATTCTCATAAGTTGACGTCAAGGCCGACGTCATCTGAGTAGTCATAATCGACATATATTAAACAACAAAGAGGAATATCTACTAGCGAAATGAGTACCTCAAGCTCAGCATGAAATAAGTAGGCAATTTTTCCCAATGCTTACGTTCAGTAAGTGCGTTTTGCACGACTCGTCCCAGTAATTGGGCTGATGACACCAAGTCCCCTGGTTGTGACTAATTGAAGAAATTCACAAATCATCTTGGCCATTTGTCCTTTAGTCTGCATCGTCGCCGCCATTGTCGTCATCCTCATCATCCTCATCTCATTTTCAGTATAGTTAACGGATTATTCCCAAAAGGCTCACACAGACTCGTAAGTGTGAGAAAGCACATACAGTTGTATTTGCGTGATTTGTGTGGTACTCGAGTCTTCGTGAACTCCTTCAAGTGGATAAAATTTGGTTAAAATTGATTCGCACCAATTGCTGGTTCCATCAGTTCTCGGCTAGTTTGGCTCAGATTAGAAACGACCAATAATTTCAGAAGATCATCGTCGATCAGAGGCCAGTGCTTGCCAGCGAAGCGACGTGTGAATAAGCAATTTCGACACATTCTACCTGTATTGGTCTCTTTTGCACTGTTTTTGAGTAGATGATGGTGCAGCATGTCCCCATGGCTTGTTTTACAATAGATAAAGAACGAGGAGGACGTTTGGCTTGGATACATAAATCCAAAATCACACAACTCAGTCGGTTCCCACGACAACATCGATTGTATGCATTCGACTTCGAATAGGCTTTCATCCCCTCCTAACTTTCTAAAAACCTCATTTGTATAATAAGTGTAAATGGATAACAATAGGCTATTGCAATTGCCTAAATTCAGTTAATAAATGACTAAGGATGAAATGAGTAGGTCGATATCACCAGAAGATAACGGCTAATTTCGCTGAATTACAGTCATTAGTTTCTACAATAAATTTTATTTTGCCGCTGGCTGAGGCATTCTGCTTCGGTTTGTGTGAAAACGAGCTGAGATTTGTTCTTTCTTTGGGCTATTATACATTTATGGACCTGACCTGATGCTAGGCCCTTCTATAATTACTCAAAGTTATCACTTGAACACGTACAAACCTAACCAAACACACAAACACTTATACGCATAGGCATGTATTGAAATATAAAAGTAACTAGTAAAGTATTAACCAATTCATATAGTACCTGGCATTATATATATATATACTTATAATTATGCTATTATTATTGTTCCTTATAAATATATAATATTTCAATGCCATTTTACTTGTGACTATGTATAGCTCGTAATGTGAAACCACCAGAAAATCAATTACAAATCACTTTATAAAATTATTAGGAACTCTTCGGCTAATCCAGTGGTAACACGTTTAGCCCTTTCCATCGTCCAGATCTGAATTCACACCAGATGAGGCTAGTTTAAGCCAAAAGAAGGAAATAGATCCGGACTAGCCTTAAGCATCACAATTACACCATACTTAGAGCAGAAGATACCGATTAAGTCATCCCCCTTGCGGATATAATCCAGCCTTTCTTCTGCGCCAAAAAATGGCAGTATTATGAGAATTAAATTTTTTCTCTGTCCGACGTTAAGGGATTAGATGTTGGGCAATAAGACATAAACCTGCTTGTAGGCGCATATAAGCATGCAAGTACACGAATGTGTACATTAGATGTGTACCTATGCATAAAAGAGTGTATATTTGCTTGTGATCATGGGTACATTCTTGCCCCTGGTCAAGACAAGCAAAAGTCACAGCATCATTTGTGAATAACAGCAGGAGTAAATGGAACTATGCAAGTCCAGTTAGGCTAG